GCATATGTGCAGAAATAAATAATAAGTCAAGTAATCGGTTGAGATTATCTCTGCATATCACCTAACGACTCTACCATTGGAACTACAAATGGACGCGTTCCATCACTTTCTTAAAATACGATTTTTTTTATTTTTTTTCTCAGCTCTAGCGTTAGAAGCACAAAAATTGCTTCCATTTGAAAACTTCCAGACTACTTTTTTAAGAAAATTTTTAAACGTTTGATAGCAATTATAAATGACGATGATGCCGTTGAGCAGAACATTTTGATAAGTGAAAAAATGCATTCCGCAGCTTCATATATTTAGAAGTTTCGAAAGACAATTATTTTAATGACCACTTTCATGTTTCTTTTTTTTTCTTACGAACGATCCTTAGAACGATAAAATTTATTTCACAAGTTTTCTCATAAGATTGAAAAATTTTGAATTTCTAGAACTAAAACTTGGTTATCACAAACTGTTTATTTTTAAAATTATCATGCAAGACTGAACACTGCTAATTAGGTGGAAGAAGAGAGGAACATATTTTGTGAGGATTCTCCGCTACCAGTTCTTCGAAATTATATAGAAGTACATCCGCCTTCACTAATTGGCATCGTTTTTGATGTCATATATAGATTTTGCATTAATCGCTTCTTTGGAATTTTAAACGAATTTTTAAAAATCATTTTCACTATTTCACTTCGTTGTTGCGCTTGTCAATTGAGTTTCAACCACAAAATGATTTTTTTATACTGCCGTTCAATTGGAGCTTCATTTTTTCAGACAAAATATTTTGTTGCCTTTAATGTAAATTAGTCTAATCTATTTTTATTGTTAGCATCATCATCATCATTCAAACTACAACAGATCTTATAATTTTTTTAAAATAATAATAATAATTAAAAATATTTGACCCAATACGAGACATCAGAAACTTAATTTTTGTTAAAATAGTATTTGAAACGCCTGTGATGATGGCAAACCTTTTCAGAAACGATGTCGCGATCGGGGCGTACAATACAACATCGACCACGCATATTTAAAACATGCCCTAACATAAATGCTCGTCATCAAAAACTCTAACAGAATTAATTCAGTGATGAATGTGGTGTTTCCAGTTCAGATGAAAATAGGTTGTTATTTGAAAATTAGTTAGTTAGTTGGGCACTGTTTTGTGCTAAAACAGCACTGCTTCTGTTACCATTTAGTGTGTGAGAGATCTATCTACGTGAAGATGGAGTTATGCATTGCATTTTCTCTTTGATCATTGCATAATGTTTTTGCATGTCAACAATAAATCTGAAAAACATTTAAAACTTGAATGATCAGATTTTTCAATGATTAAGAACTTCAAAATGTAAATGGAAAATATATTGGTCTCTAGTTTATGCTAAAATGAAATAATGGCTACTGTTTCAAAGGTCTATTACATTCCAAATTATTCAGCTCTTTAAAAACACATTTAGACTCAAGCAAAATTTTCTTGCGGTAATTTACAGCGATAATAAAATGTAAAATCAGTTATTTAGCAAGAAATGGGTTGGTGAAATATTATTTTATCCGAATGAATAGTGCTATTGGTAACAGTCTGTGAATAACTTTAAAAATTGTTCAATGCGGTATTAATTTTATTATTTTATTGAAGAATCCTGCAAAATATTACGAACCAATTTTCATTACGTGAGTCTTTCTACTAAAATAAACATAGAAAACAAATACATTCGACAGTACAAACAAACCGACATGACCAATGGCCATAGAGACACAGAAATGAAATGATTGATAGCAAAAATATGACATTTTGATAACACTGCTATAAATATTTTTCCAAATCAACAATGCACAATTAAATAACATCAAAGACGATCAATCAACCGTCTAATCATCTTCATTCGGCATCTCAGAAGGGACAGACTAATGATGGGGATTACGGTGACATTGTAATTGTAATTTGTTATTTATATAGCTCTAATTATCTCAGATGTCATCATCGTCGTCATCATCGCCACCATCATCCCAGCCGTTTTCATCATCTGTATCAGCATCAACCTCTATTCATCACCACCACTACTCATTGTGTTATGTATATATTCTGCCTCTGGAGTATTTTATAAGAGGTGCTGGAAAAAATTCATCAACTTCCATTATCTACCTCAATAAGAAGCTCAATTATATATTACGACACACAAAAAATTTTATATCAAGGCAATTATTATTACTAACAAAGAGTTTCGTTGATGATTGTAAAAATTTTTATTTTACATAGTTTCACGTCAGAAAAATACTTTAATGATACTATTGAAATGATATGGAAATTCAAATGATGAATAATGATAATGGTGATGGTGACAACAACGATGGTGGCGAACAAAGTGAATAGTGAATAAAATGAGAATGATATATGACAACAATGATAGACTGATTTTAATTATTACATTTACGCTAACAATAATTTTACGACAAACACGAAATGATGAATACGCTGATGATGAATGACGACGATGGTGGTGTATGATGATGATGATATGTGATTATGATGGTGATGATGATAACGATAGCTGATGATAACGATGATAAAATATGTGATGGTTTTAAAAAAATAAAGACGCGTTCATCACGATGATTATTATCTCTCTCATCAGAGCTGAAGAATAATTATTGTTCGTGTTTGCTTACCTAGTTGTGCATTATTTATTGGTGATGGTGATAATGATGATGTAAAAAAGGATGATGATGATGAGGAGGAGGGGAGGAAGATGAAGATGATGATGAAGATAATGATAATAAGGGTGATGATGATGATGATGACCAATCTGATTGCTGATGACGATGTCAATGACGAAGATGATGATGGTGATGATGTTGCCGTCAATGATGAAGACGACGATGACAATGTTAATGAGATGAATGAAGACGATAAGGATGAGCAAACACTGATGATGAAACACTGATGACGAAACACTGATGATGGTGACGATGATGATAAAAACAATGACGAGACTTGAAGAGAATGATACAATTTAAAAAAGAAGTCAAGAGAGTTTTGTTTGGGACACATCTGAATAAATCATGCACACCTTGATCCTTCAGCCTCTCTCAGGCTCATCATGAAAACACATCATGCCTTTAAGGTTCGTGCAGTCTAGAATTCTACCAAAAAAAATAACATGCGCTGATAAGAAATAATTATAAATAGAACCAAATAAACTCACACACACACGCACACGCACACACACACACACGTATGTAACATCCAAAATAAGTTTATTGCAATACTTTAATAGAATATAAATTTTTTTTTAACCGATATTCACTAACAGTTGTCTCATATTATATTTTTTAATATTTTGTTTGTTTATTCCAATGTTGGTTTTCAAAACCAAAGCTTATTCTAGGTTATAACTTCATTTTCCGATCCATGATGTTAATGTGCACAAACAAGCACCTCTTCCATGCTATGCTAGGAATAAATGAATGATTGAGCATCGTATATAGCATATTGAATGTGAGGTGTTGTGTTTATTGATGTCTATTTCTACATACATCAATATGTATATATATTATACCGGTGGCATAATAACCACAACAATATACTTATACAAAAATGATACACAATACATACAAAAATGATACATAAAACATACAAAATGATACGCAAAACATATAAATTGATACGCAGAACATACAAAAAGATACACAAAACATACAAATTAATATACAAAATATACAAAATGATACACAAAACATACAAATATGATAAAAGAGTTTCATGCTGCGAGCGAATAGCAGAGGCACTCGTCTAAAACTAATCCTTTCAAACATTTCACTTCCTCATATATTATGTAAATGTTTTTAATGGGGTTTCAAGCCTTGACACATACAAAACTTAACCAGAGTTTGAGTGTTAAGTGTCATTTTGTGTTCTTAGATGTAACTCCACTTTTCCAAAAAAAACAACGAATAAGCAGCAGAAGTACAACTGCAGAAATATGTGGAACATAATTTTTAACTTCAATTCAAAAAGATGTTATCGGTAATTAACATTTGAAGCAGTTAACTGGGCTCCAACATGTTTCTACTCATTTTGTCTTTCGTCAGACCCTTTACGAAAATTAAGAACATTTTTTTATTCATCGATCATAACTCGCATACATGTAGTTATTTATATTGATCTGAAATCATTCGTCATGTTGAATCAGGATGATGCATGAAAATAGAGTATACATTAAAAAGCATGTCGTTTTTTCAAACTAAATTCAAACAAGCAATAGTACGTGCAGTACATGGCGGCTTTGAGAAAACTATAGCCCGAGAGAGGAAGGGAAAACGATAGAACACGTTTGATGGTTTCAGAATCAATTCTGAACAAAAAATAAACATGAACATAAACAAACACAAACATAAACAAACACAGGCGTAAACATAAAGAAACTAGCAGCAAAGAATGAGAAACGATTTTCTCCTTGAAGCTCAGCCACAACAATGAATCAACAATATATCCACAATGAATCAGCAGCATTTCTAAAATGAATCAGCAACATTCTCACAAACACAAAAGAAGTCTACTATTTAAAAAAAAACAAACAAAAATGTATAATAAGAATAAATTTGCGTAATTTTTTGTAAACTCGCACGTGGACAATGCACACCATCAAAAATAGAGAAAAAATGGAAAAAAAGAATGAGAAAGGAAGAGCGAAGGAGAGGGAGAGAGAGAGAGTGAAAGAACGGGAGAGAAAAAAAGAGATAAAAAAACGGAAAGTGGGAAAAAAAGTGGGCAGTAAAAAGAGAAAGATAGAAAGAGCCTGCATTGTGTGCCTGTGCCAGGGAATAAAGGAATATAGATGGGGAGGATGTGAGTAGGCCGCTTCAACATGTTGCTCATGATCGAATACAGAAATTATTAGTTGTTTCATTGATGCTCGTTTGCTACAATGATTCTTATTGGAACGTTGTAGATTAGCAGCACTTCTGATTATGAAAAAAACTCTGTGCAAACTTATTCGTGAGTAACAAACATGCAGGCAATGGAAACGTTGGTGATAACAAAAAGAACGGCGATGATGAACATGATGAAGGAAGAAGGCGTAATGATGAGAGATATGAGCGAGCAATGCAATGGCTTACTTGAACGTCAAGATGACCATGTTTATGGCGAGGTAGAATAATAAAGATGGCTGTCATTGCGGACGTCAATGATTTATCGCAATGAGGCTGCCGGAGACATGACTCAAGTGCTGCTGTTAAATGACTTTTTTCGTACGATGTACGGAAGTAGATATTTAAGATTTGCATCGTTTGAGATGTTCTAAAAATTTAAATTAACATTTGCCACAAATTACTAGCTATTTTAAAATTTCGATTAAACTTATAAAACATATATCAATATTTGAGATGTTTTGTTGTTATTGCGCCAGCATATACATATATAAACAAACATCAAAAAAAATTTTACAAAAAAATTGAAAGCTCTCGGGGTTACAAAAAACCAAATTTTTGCAAAAGAAATTTCAGTGAAAGAGGATTAAAGAGTGGAAGAATGCAAGTGCAGTTGCGTGCTGTGTTCTGCTAGGCGCAATCTGTGTTGCGCAATTATTACGGCGAAATAACTTAGTACACGTACATACGCGTGCACGAACACTTCAAAAAGTTACACACAGAGGAACACGCACACTAGCATATACACATACGCACAGACTCGCACACAAAGAGAGGCGGCGGCACTGAAAAAACAGTCGTGCAGGTGCAATTATACGCAATCATTCAATCAATGTCAATTTATTCAACAATATGAAATTTAAAATTTTTTGTACGTTTTTGGGTATAATTTTTTTTAATTATTAAAAAACAAAAATTTCAACATTTTGACATAATATTGACAAATTTACTTTATAGAGCAGGATAATTTGCTATGCATAAAAAAGACTACTTTAAACTGATGTAAAAGCTATTTTCATTTAAGTACTGGCATTAAAGTGAACGATACGTCGTCGTAATCATGTTCACATCTTGTCAAAGTCCATTCGTTGATATCTCAGTTAATTTCCATAAAACAATAAGAACCATTTTCTAATGATAAATTAGAGCAAATCGGTGCTTTTAAAAGTACACCATTAACAGAAAATCATTTATCGACAGTACATAACATTAAATAAATATCTAACTTAACGACATTATGCATCGATTGATACCATCATATTTCTTATTGTAATCAATTGATACCATCATATTTTTTATTGCAATCAATTGATACCATCATATTTCTTATTGTAATCAACTGATACCATCATATTTCTTATCGTAATCAATTGATACCATCATATTTCTTATTGTAATCAACTGATACCATCATATTTCTTATTGTAATCAACTGATACCATCATATTTTTTATTGTAATCAATTGATACCATCATATTTCTTATTATTATCAACCAACGTGGCCGTGCACAGTTCCAACGAAACCTCGCGACCGTCGTCGAGGACTCAGAGCATCGACTCTCGATACCACCGAAACAGCACCTGCAGCGCCAACAGCAACCTCATCAGCTCCTTGATCGACAAGGCGGCCGCTGCCGTGGTGAATGGAGGCAGTTGTGGTGGTGGTGGGGGAAGTAATGGAAGTAACAGCAGTAAGATGAGAAGGAAGAAAATTCTCGTTCCTGCGGTTTTCGATATTCCTGGTCAGTTGTGGAGTTGTGATGTGGTTGAGATTCTGCGTTTAAATTACTATGTCGATTGATATTTTAAAAAATTGTTTGAATCATTTTGTTTGTTGAAAAATTAGTTTATTTGCAAACTTTATCATTTTCTAAGCCAAAATATTTCAACAGTTAAACAGTTGTAAAATACTTTTTTTTTAAACAATTCTAATACCTTCAACACTTCAAACATATTATTTCCAAAATAATTATATTTCAATATCTTTTTGATGTTACCCTGAATTCGCTTTAAAAACATTTATATTTTCATGATCAAATTGTAGTGTAAAAAAATGTTCAACAATTCCCAATCCAAAAAAAACCACCAGGCATTCAAATCAGCCGCATAGAGACCATCGACCTCGACGATGCCTCCGACAAAAGTGGCCAGCGAACGCTGGAGCTGGTAGTTGGCGGTCGTTCGAACAAAAACAAAAAAGATTCCACAGCATCGATCAGCTCTGTGGGATCAACCACAGCCAACCACTACCACCACAACGGTCGACACTACCACCAGCAAAACGGATCGTCATCTTTTTCCAGGAAATACATCATCGTCAAGAGCAGCGATGCTTCCAGTGACTATTCCAGATTTTCTGATTATTCATTAGTCGAAGCCATGAGTCGTAGCAGAAGTAGCAGAAGCAGCCGCGATTCAAGCAACTTCAGTGGCTCACAGAAGTTGTACGACATGTCTTCATCACCGTACAACTCTCAGTTGGATATTGATGACAATGATGAAGATGACAACGAAAATAACGGTTACCAACTTTTAGTTTTTTTCATGCATACCACAGTTACAACGTTAAAGAATAATTTTAGGAAAAAATATAAATATATGTAAATATACGGGTTTTAAAATTTATAACGTTATAATTTTAGTAGGAAACAAAGACTTGTTGTCAAGAAGCGTGCCAACTCAAACCGCATCACAAACATCAACATCCATTTTTATAAATTTTTCAGCGTTCACATTGCAAACACAAAAGAAATCACAGCCGTTTCATGCGTACAAGGTTGTACTAAGTAACTTGCCACATGTACAACCATGCCAACATTCTAAAAAATAATATAAAACATCTGTATATGACAAGAGTGAAACTAATAAATAAAAATATTTAACAGATCTAATTTTTAAATGCATCTGCTGCGAAGGCTATCACGCACGTCAAAATTTCACACAAAGACTAGTGTCATTTGAATTCTAATTAAGTGCGTACAAAAAATGTACACGATGCAATTATTTGAAAAAAAAAATTTTTAAATTTTATTTCAGCATAATTTATTTACTCTATGATGATATGAGGTCTAAATACACATAAAATTTTGTAAATATTGTCAAATAGATATTAATTCGTTGATTAACAAATCTGATTAAAACCTGAAAAAATATTTAAGAAACTGTCAGAAAAAAAATTTTATGTTAGGAAAAAACACACACACATACACACACACACACGTTCAAATACTAAAACAAAACAAACACAAACAAACACAAACAAACATTATCAAATAAACAAACACAAACAAACACAAAGACACAAACAAATAAACAAACACGAACAGAGAAAAACAAGAAAAGTCATGGCAGAGATTATTCACTCTTAACTCCCAGCATTCCTAGAAAAGGTTAATGACGAAATATTGCCTATTGTAGTGCTCAAACGTCGGCTAACATAACTAACAATGGGATCATTATTTATCGCTCATCTGTTGTTGTATAGATCCTTATAAATAATTATAAACTTTTGCAACATCATCAAACTCAAAAATGATTTCCATAGTCATCAAGGCTTAATAGTAATTAATTTGTTTGAGAAATTGTCATTTAGTATTTACTTACATTACAAACAACGACAACGAAGGTTCGGTCGTAACGTTCGACGTATCTGATTCAAATGTGCGCCGACATTCAAGCCCCGTCCCATCGTTGAGACGCAAAGACCTGACGGAAGCAGGAAGTCGCAAGTTGGAGGAAGATGAAGCAGCCGCTCGTCAGGACAATCAAAGAAACCAGTCTGTCAACAATTTTCTTCGATTGAACGTGCATTGAAAAAGATAACTTAGTGATAACATGTTTTGGAATAAAGTTGTATTTTAGTCACTAAGATAATTACACCGAAAAATTGTAATGAGTATCAATTGCAAAAAACTGTTTTAACATTTTTTTTTCATTTGTTAATGCAGGATAACAGAAATGAGCAGCATGTCCACACCTCCCAGCACCAACCAGCGATACGTGACCACCAGCAGCCACAAACCTCACCTGCTCACTGCTGCTCGTCACAAATCCTCCAGCCAATCACAGACTAGAAAAAGATCATGTGACCAATCTTTGCCTACTATTTTTATAACGCCTATTGCCACAAGCGGAAGCACTGTATCTCATGAAGCTGCTCCAACAGCAGAACACCTGCCCATGACGTCATTGAGGGTCTCGGACTCTTCGTTACATTCCGAGCAGAAAATTTCAAACACGCCTGAGAAAGAAGAAAACAATAAAAAACTTGAGTTTGAGACAGATGTCACTAACCTTAATAATTCATTCAACGTACATCATCACACAGTTTCGAACGAGGATCTCTGTTGCGAGGTGACACGAGACACCGGCTCAACACCTACCGCACCAGCACCGAGCATTAGCTCGCCATCATCCACAAAATGTTCATTCGGTCGAAAGTATGGGGTGTGGTCTCCAGAGACCGACTCACATTCATGCTGTTTCTCAATGCAACATCAACAACAACCACCTACAACATTCCAACAGCATCGCAAACCGCAACAACACTGCTACAGGAAATCATCCTTGAATTTACAGTTCGGACAACATGAAACTAAACCAAGAACAAGTCAGTCGATAAAAAAACCGGCAAGAATTTCATATCACAGTGATATTTTCCCTCATCTGGAAAACGTCGAAACCAGTTACACACCGACCAACTTCACTGCAGGTGCAGACTCTGGCAAAATGATCAACATTGCTCAACTGAAGGAAAAGACGAGTCCCCGATACAGTGCAAGCAGCAGAAGCCAGTCTTCAAAGAGTTTGCACAGAGGCCTGCGAAAGGAAAGTGCTCACGTTGGCAGGAACTTTTCTGTCAAACAGAAAAACAACAACCACAATGATGATAAAAAGAACGATGACGCTGAAAGTAAGATTGGAAAACATGAAGGCTAAACAACTAAACATCCAATGATAGCTAACGTATGTTATAAAGTCCGTAAAAATTCCGTATTTTTCAAATAATTGACAACAAGTAAGCAGACTTATCAAAATGTAATTCAATGAATTTAGATTTGTTTATTTATAAACATAAAAACACATAGCCACAAAACCTCACATAATCACACCTACACAAGGACACCAAATCACATAAAAACACACATACCCAATAAGAAACACACACGCGCGCGCGTGCAAACAAACACAGCAACACACGCACACAAGCAAACATGCACTCGTACATCCACAGTTATGCACATTACGCAGATTATATTATAATGACTTGTTTTGTTGAAAATTATTTTAAAAATTTAGCAGAACCTCTCATGAATTATTTAGACCTGCACTTGTCCGTTTACATGCCAATAGATTGTAAGTTATAATACCTGGACTTTCTCTTTTTCGTTTCTTTCTCTCTCTCTCTCTCTCTCTCTCTCTCTTTCTCTCTTTATATATACATACACATTAAATACCACACAAACGTTTTTTTATGTATATAATATAAGATACATGCTTTATTAATACTATATGTACATACATATGCATCCTTAAATGTTTTTCTCAAATTTAATCTGATTTTAATGGAAAAATGTACGTTAGAAAAATTTGTAAAAAATAAATATACGCATTGAACCATTTTGGGTGGCGAAATGGTGTGACAGTTTAGACGCCGGGCTCTGTTGTTGCAGAGACTTGGTTCGAAAGCCAACCGGTGCTTGATATCACATGCGTTGTGCGTATGTTTTTCATTCTGATTAACGAATGTTTTTGCTTTATATGTTTCCATTACACAAATAGGGTTGAGAGGTTTGAATAATGAAACTAAAGGTAATAAAAAAAAAACTGAAAACCGTGTCTATTCTTTAAATTAGAAACATAATGAAATGAAACTACAAGAGTTGATTTTATTTTTAAAATAAAATGAGAATTTGAAAGACGAATCATTTAGGCATTATTTTTTGGAGGAGGGAGTGAGGGAGGCCCTCTGATGCGTTGGTCATCTAGAAAATTATTGCGTAGGCAGATGGTGGATTTCACACAAATTTGTGTCCATGCTAGTTAGTAACTATGATGAATAATTCACTGAAATTTATGTTAATTTTTTCTCTTCGAAGTCATCATTAAAAATTTTGATCAAATAAAATTTCGAAATGGTTGAAACTTACGAGAAGCATTTGTAAAGCCGGTTAGCACTACGTTACAAATGACATTTATGAAATCGGCGGTATGTTTTTGTTTGTCCTTCCGTTCTTACTTACTTTTAATTTTTATTCTAAAATTTTGCCCGCTCGATAAACATTTTGCATGTTTTATACATCTGAAATTTTTTTTGCTGGGCTGAAGATCGAACGTTTACTTCTGATGGCCGCAATGAGTTCCTTAAAATCAACTGCTAATTAACGTAATTTTGTAATTTTATTTCCTTGATTGAATATTTCTTGCATATTTTTATATTTAAAAATATCCAACTTATTTTTTATTAATTCAAACTTTCAATGAGGCACACTAAAAAATTTTTATAACAATTCTTCTTTTTTGTACACGTACATCATACATGCGTGTAATTGAATTTTTATAAAATTTCTCATTACGCACCTAAATAGAACTCTCTTAGGATATTGTTTATACAAGAAAAGAATGATAATAAATTTTTATTTGTATTATTATTATTATCATTATTATTATTATTATTGTAAAAACAATGCGACGCTGTTGATGCAAGAAAAAGCTTGTAGTTTTGCAGTGCGAGCTTCATTCATCTGACCACCACACATTCACACTATGTTATGTGGCTATTTTTTTTATTTATGACGATGGTCATGATATTGATGATGATGTTGTTGTTGATGATGACGATGATGTTATTGTTGTTGATGACGATTACGATGATGTTGTTGTTGATGATGATGATGATGATGATAATGTTGTTGTTGATGATGATGATGTTGTTGTTGTTGATGATGATGATGATTATGAAGATGTTGTTGATGATGATGATGTTGTTGTTGATGATGCCGATGAAGATGTTGCTGTTGTTGTTGTTGTTGATGATGCCGGTGATGATGATTATTATGAATATGTTGTTGTTGTTGATATGATAATTACGAAAATCACACACACACATAAAAACACACACGTGTATATACAGTATATACATGTACTTTATTCAATTATTTATAAAGATTTATGTATTTAGTGTATTTATGATAGTCTAAACCAAAAATGTACTTTATTAAAAATCTCGATTTAATTTTTTTTAAAAGTATTTTTGTATAAGTATTTATTTTCCGTAATCCTTACATCACTTACTTTTTGTAAGTAACAATTGAAATTACAGAAATAAAATGTAATAAAGTCTGTCGTTGATGTTTATTCTTATTACGTCATACGTGTGTTTTTCATTCTCACCCAGTGACGTAATTTTAGATGAAAAACGTCCTGGAATTGTTTTCGAATTGAACTATCAAAACTTAAAACAATCACATTGTAGATATTGCACGGAGCACAGCAATGAAGGAAAGATGAGAGATAGAGAGATAGGAATAAATAAAACGGAGTGAGAAGTGGAGGATGTGGCGGATAGAAGGAAGGAGAAGAAGGAAAGAATGAAAAAGAGTGAGAAAAGGGAAAGTGAGAGAGAGAGAGAAAAAAGAAAGATAGAGATATTCATTTGTTTAATGATCAAAAGTATTTTTCTCATTCAACTACCCCACCCGCCAAGGATTGTTTTTTGAGCAAGCTTTGAAACAATTTAAAATTGTTACCGCTGCTTCAAAACGAAAATTCTAATAAATACTCAAAATGGGTTCGTTTTATTGATTTACAAAAGTTGGAATGATCTGTATGAAAAAAGATGAAAAATAATGACACCAAATAATAAAAAAAACGTAAAAAATACAACAGAGTATAATAACACGACGCAACATAATGCAACAACATAACGGACCAAACATTCAGGAGGAGAAGAACAGATGATGATAGGATGGATGGAATGAGACGTGGTACATGGTGGGTAATGTCATTAAGACGACGGGCCCGCCATTTTAAATCTTCTTTTAAGCATTAATTATTTTTATTGCTCGAATGAAGAAAACGATGATACAGCTAAAGATAACAACCGTAATTACAGTGATGATGATGTTGGTGGTGATGATGATGTTGGTGGTGATGATGATGTTGGTGGTGATGATGATGTTGGTGGTGATGATGATGTTGGTGGTGATGATGATGTTGGTGGTGATGATGATGTTGGTGGTGATGATAATGATGGTGGTGATGATATTGATGGCGGCGGTGAGGAAGATGATGATGATGACGACGAAATTTGGTGATGTAGCATTGTTGTATTGTTACTCATTTGAGGCGTAAATAGGTAAACATTAATTCACCTTCTTACGTTAGAAACAGTGACGGCAAGCGTTATAATAATTACGTGATTATTAAGTAATGAGTAGATGAACAAGTGATGACATAGTAATAGAATGAGTAAGAGAATGAGTTAACCCATGCATTGGAGCATGTTTCACAATATTTTTTTCTATTAAAATTACTTATTTCAATCGTAACAGAGTAAAAATGAATGTTTGTGACATACGTCCCAGCTATATGTGTATAATCTTTCCGTAAAAAATTTGATTTGTTATCTCATTCATTTCGCGCGCATTTCATGACAAATTGCCTGACATAACAGGAACAGTGTAGACTCCATATATCTAATTTATAATTATAATGGTCTTCTACTTTGCAGCCACCACCATCATTGTTTGACTTGCCAACCAAACTAATTTCTAAGAATTATAAGGCCAGCAGATCAAACCGCTCATCATTTGGAGAATGTTCCCTTCGACTGACTGAAGCTAATCTAAATGCATCTTAAAAACACGTAAAACGCGTGCATGGCTTCAAGTTACGGTCAACATTAAAATGTCTTTTTTATGTTAAAAGTATTTGCTGAAGTTTTCTTTTTTTTTTTAAAAAATTAAATCTTGACATACTTCAAAGACACAAAATGTCAATAATTCTTAAAAACAGATAATAAATGAATAACTAATATTAAAACCCGACCCGCTAATGGTTAAAATTATCAAAACATTCGCCAAAAATATTTTGCCTAAAAAGTAATTTTCATTCTTCCTCTTCATATTGTTCAAATTTATTTAGTTTTTCTGTTTTTTTTTTGTTTTTCGTTAGTACCATTTTTTTTTAGTTATTATTTATTTAGTTTTTCTGTTTTTTTTTTGTTTTTCGTTAGTACCATTTTTTTAGTTATTTATATTGATCTGAAATCCTCTTCATATTGTTCAAATTTATTTAGTTTTTCTGTTTTTTTTTTGTTTTTCGTTAGTACCATTTTTTTTTAGTTATTATTTATTTAGTTTTTCTGTTTTTTTTTTTTTTTCGTTAGTACCATTTTTTTTAGTTATTTATATTGATCTGAAATCCTCTTCATATTGTTCAAATTTATTTAGTTTTTCTGTTTTTTTTTTGTTTTTCGTTAGTACCATTTTTTTTAAATTCTGCTTGAAAACATAGAGTGAGTAGGCAGGTGTCTGTTAAAACTGTCATCATCATCACACTTTTTGATAAAAGTTTGTGTAATGAGAGCCGACATTAAAAGCTGATGAGTTTATTAACCAAATTGATTCCAGTTTATATATTTAAATATACAAATATTAATTTTATTTACAATATTTTTTAAATAAATTAAGCAAACTATAATTTTTAAACATCGATTTTTTCAAAACTTGAGAAAAATTTTAAACGTGAAATATAAGTTTCGGTTTGTTGGCCGCTGAGAGCAAAGTATTAGCATGAAGTTAGGTTAGATGGTTTGATACTTGATTGATAGATAGATAGTTTGATGGATGTTCAACAAATGGATAAACTTGGAATGTATGGGCTAGTGGGTTATGGGTTAACCCAACCACCGTCATGTCGTTTTTAATGTCATGGTG